GAACCCCTCGTCTTTCCCATTATGAAGCCCTCCAACTCATATTATTAGTCATGGGAAGGGCCTGGGCACCAACTGGTCAGAATGGCAGTAGACATGAGCAGATGTCTGCCCTGCCGCTGCCTCAGCTCACATCCAGGATACTGGGGCCCATGTACCCCTGTGCCAGAAGATAGACAGGTACTCAGGGTCCCTCTGGATGCTGGTCCAGGAAAGACGGATCCAGGAAGCAGAGTTCCACATCAATAAGCAGGGAGACAGAGTCACCAAGCATCCACTGCAAAAGGGACATCTGAGCTCATCTGCCTGATAGTCCCCGCTGGTGTGCCCCACTCACTGAGCTGTCAATTGCCTTAACCCTCCTGATCACCAGAGGAGGTTTTGGGGCACCCAGGGTCTCCTAATCTGGTCACTCCTTGCCTGTTGATGCTGTAGGTTTTACGAATTTTATCCTACTGTACGCATGCCAAGACCTTATAAAAAGGCCAGGAGGCATTCTAGTCTGACCCCATTATGCGGAGGGGGAAACTAAGGCCCAAGAAGAGAAAGGATACCTATTCAGAAGCAGCAGGAATGAGGAAGTCTGGGATCTCATCCCAGAGAGCAGCTGGATCCACCATCCTAGAACATCTCAGCTCTGCTGCTACCCTCCTCAGTACCCCGTCAGCTTCAGCTCCATCTGGGCCTCCATCCCCAGAGCAGCTTCCCCTCCTCCCACCAACACTGTGGCCCAAAGATCCCCACATCCCTCCTGACATTCTCTGCAAAGAGTGAGCTCATCTCTCCAGCAGCCACCTCCACCTTCTCTGGTTTCCCAACATGGGAAGGCCTCGTTGGGGAAGGCATCATGCCGGAATAGGATGTTCAGCTAATAAATATGTATGCAGGATTTTTATTACTTAATAGTTGTAAGGTTAATCGTCGTGGTGAACGCCTATATTTAATGTGTCAATGGAGCTGCAAAATGCCAAACTGAATAGCTTTAACACACATTAGTTCTACTTGTGAATCTACAAATAGGAACCTTGTCAGAAAAGTATTCAAACCGAGATCAGTATTGATTGTGGTCCTCGGGAAAGGCACTGGACTGTGACAGTTTAAAATGATAAATGTCTAGAGAATTATTTGCCTGTATTGATAAAAAGAAGCAGATATAAAGCTGACAGTCTCAGAGGAGGCAGCGCTGGTGAGTGTGGCCAGCACATCCAGCATCGTTAGGGACTTGGAGCTAATCTCCCCTTTGATATGGAGACGATCCCCAAGGGGTCTGGCCCTGCCCTGTGCTGGGGCTTGTAGTAATTGCAAAGGAGGGGGCTCTCTGGGCATGCTCAGTCTGCTCCTGGGTCCCTGCACTGGCCAACCCACTGTAATTTTGGAAGGGAGCCTTCTGCAGAGACCCAAGCGTTTTTCATTCCATTGCTCACCTCCTGCGCAGCAGCCTTCTGAGGCTCACCAAGCAAGACTGAAGTCCTCAACCCAGCCTTAGAACTCTCACCCAAATAGCACTGTCTCCTTTCCAACCTCACCACTCAAAGCTCACCCCCAGAGTCTCTGCAGCAGCAGGACTGGCGGGTTGCAGCTCCCGTGAACTCCTCCCCGAAGGCTTCACTCACACTCCCTGTCCATCAGAGCTGAGCAAAGCCAACTCATTCTTTAGGACAAATCAACCCCCACATTCTCTTCAGGTCTCTACTCCAATACCACCCCCTCTAGAAGCTTCCCCGGGCTGCCCTAGTTGGAAGAGCATCCCCTCTCACTCTCAGTCTCCTTACCCTGCGATGATATCTTCTGAGCCTGCATCACCACCTGGTTTATACGTTAATGTTTATACATTAGCTAAGGTTTGCCCATTTCCCACCCACAGTGTAAGTGCCATGGGGAAGACACTCTATTACATTCATCACCATGAGCAGTGTCTGACACATGGAAGGTGCTAGATAAGCCTTTGTTGAATTAATGAATGAATGAATGAATGAGTCCTTCAGGAAGCCTTCCAAACCACTCCCAGCTCAGTGATTACCCATTCCACCCTTCTCTTTAAAATCCCTCAGGACCTTTCCTGTCTCTCACCACTCACATCCGTGTTCAAAAACCACCCATGGCTCCCTACTGCCTAAGGACCAGGCTTGAATTCCTGAGCCCGACCTGCAAAACCATACCCCATCTGGGGCCACTCCCAGACTCCACCTCTGCTCCTCTCTTCTGCATCTCAGGCTAGGTTTCTACTGCCCTCCTGCTTCACAGGATCTGGCTACGCTCTCTCTGCATACCACCGCAGGACTGAGGCTTCTGTGGACATCCTGCATGACCCAAGTATGGCTTTGTATCATGGTTGGCTCCCAGTTATACAGCCAAGGACCTGTCCTGTCCTGTCCCCACCCTGGGGCCTGGGTGGCACTGCAGAATCCAGTCTATCTCTGAGCTCTGCTTGTTTCATGGGGACCTTAGTCACAAGCCTAGGGGCAGGCACTCATGTTCACATGTGCTTCTACATGGGAACATAGTATCCGGGGCGGTGCCCAGATACTACTTTAAAATTCCATCTCAGATGGCCTGTTCGTTCCTGAGTTTTCTGCTCTCCCTTTCCTGTCCCTTGCCGCTGTGCACCCTTGTTTCACAAGACGCCGGCTGCACAGGGGAAAGCAGAAGGCACCCACGGGATGTCCTGGCTTTTGTTTCCACAGGCATAAATCTGTTAGAAGATGTGGAGGCTTTGCAGAGAAAGAAAGCAGGACAGCCAGGCTCTTAGCAAGAAGCAAGGGATCTTGGAAGAAACGTAAATGTGGAAGTATTGCTCCCAGACCAAAAGGAGATTTCCCCAAGCTGGAGGGAGGAGAGTAGTGAAAGCTGTTGCTCGAGAGAGGGACCCTGCCTTCTCTTCTCCTGCTGAGCAACAGCCTACAGCAAAGGCTCCTGGGGACACCTCTGGGGGCCAGGGCTGGGGACAGCCACAGAAAGGAGCCTTGTGCCTTAGTCAGGTCTGGAAGGCAGCAGAGAGCAGGCTGTGCCCTGAAGGGGCCTTACAGGCAGGGAGAGTGAGGGCCCAGGGCCCTGAGGGGTGATACCCAGAGGACCCTCCCTCTGACTCCTGGGATGAGCCATGCCCAGAGGGGTAATCTGAGAGGCAGGAGGACAACCCCAGAGGAGCCGAGGTGATGAGTTTCCACCAGCCCCACAGAATGGATCGTGGAAGCCGCTGTGGGACAAGTGATTTGTGTCACCAGCTGAGTGAGGGGACTAAGATTCATGACCTCAGCAGCAGGTACTGCTGCCTGTCCCACCAGTCTACATGCCCTGACAGCAGGTGCTGAGCTTCCTCCTGTCACTTCATACCTGCCCAGGTTGGTGCCAACATGAATAGGTGGGAATTTGCTACATGTGGAGGGCCGACTTTCTGCACTTTGGGAGATGTTTCCTGCCCACTTCCCATCAAGGAGGCATTTTTCACAAGTGGATCCCTAGGAAGAACCATGGAATGAAGATACAGAGCATGGAACTGCTCACTGCCCCAGCGAGGGCTTCTGGGAGGGGCAGCAGGCAGGCCCCACACTGCACTCACTCTGGGGCCCCGAGACGAGGCCATGTGGGGAGAAGGAGCCGTCATGGTCCTTCTTCCACGAGAACACCAGGGTCATCCCGTCCTGCTCCACGTGCTCTTGTCTGCTACCACAAGCTTCTCCCTCATGCCTGGAGAAAGATCCTGACATTACATAGAGCAGAGGGACCCTGAAGAGGCCTTGACACTTCCCAGAGTCAAACCACTCACTGTAGAACTAGAGGTGCCAAGGCCCAGAGAGGGCAAGCTGCTCATCCAACATCACACAGCCACTTAGCAGATCTGAGACAACAACCAGGTCTCTTGCATCCCAGGAAGTTACTTCCTCTAGCACTCCACAGTATCTTGCAAGAGTTTGTTTGGGCCTCCATGTAACTGCCAGACCTTCACAGCCACAGCAAGGGTCCTCTAGTTAATGTACCTGCCGAGGGATATGTGGTTTCAGCAGGAGTGATGAGAAGTGGACTGAGAATCAGAGACCTGGCTTCTAGGGTCACCTGTGGCATGTCCCATGCCGGGGCCTCCAGGAGTCTGGAAGGTTGATCTCCTCAAGAAGGAAGGGAGGGTCATGGACTAGGCCAATGTGAGTGGGAGTGGGGGAGGCATGGGTGCACAATAAGAGAAGACTCCAGAATCCACCCCCCTATGGTCCTCCAAGATGCTTGCTTCCAGGCAACTTGTTTTCAGATGTCTTTCACTGGGGCCTCTGCTTATAGTCATCCCCAAAGGGATTGCACTATTAAAATAAATAGGTGACCCGCCAGCCCCAGCCTGGGCAGACTCTTTCAGAGATTACACCGTGGCTCAGTGGGAGGAACTGCACTTGGGCAAAGGGTACCCCAAGAGAGCCTTAGCCTCTGACCCAGCCACTGTCCCAAGGCAAAGTTTTGAGAAGGAACTGAAAACCAGCAATCCTTGCAGGCAATGTGTGGACTCAGAAGGGGGCTGCCAGGTGGTCTGTGAGACCGCGGTGGTGCTGCCTGGGAAGAGAGCTATCATCATCTTTTTTTTAAAAGGCCACATCCAGGGCCCTCAGCCTGGCTTGAAATAGCTGCCCCTTCTGCAGAGCAGGCCAGGAGCTGCTGCCAAGGAGAATAGGCTGGGCTGGAGTCCAACAGAGACCAGAGAGACACATCTGGCCAGCATAGCCTGGGTGTGCAGGGAGCACTAGGGGAGTGGTGTTTCTGAGATTCGGGGATGACCAGATTGGAAAACCCACCCGGCCTGCCCTCACCTTTCCCCAGGCCTGGGCTGACACAGATAGAAGGTCAGACAGAAAAAACGTTTCTTTTCTTTCTTTCTTTCTTTCTTTCTTTTTTTTTTTTTTTTAAATGTATACCTTGGTTGAAGACTCACAGACACCAGCACTGAACCTCACACAGGGAGCACTCCATAAGCCAGACTCCAGGTATCAGGAGGCATCTAAAAGGTGATGAAAAGGAGGAGGTGTGGAAAACCTCCAGAGTTTAGAAGGAACAGCAGTGGACCCTCCAAACAAGGGAAATGCTTTCAGCAGCTTCTCTCCCTGGACTGTCAATGACCAGGATCACTTTAGAATATAGGGGCACAAAATTTTCAAAGACCCAAAGGTGAGGAAGGAGGGAAGCCTTGGAGCTTGAAGCGCCTGGCGAATGAGGCAGCGGATACAGTGAGCCTTACAGTCTTGAGAGCCTGAGACCCCCAACCCCAGGGGAAGACGGGGAGACTGCAGGAGGACCACAGACAAATCACAGGGAGTTTTCAAGAGGCTGGGGAGCAAGAGGTCAGCAACAGAGAGGCTGTAGCAGCCTCCACCGACAGCTCAGGCAGTTGATTGGTGCCAGAAGGAGATGGATGACCAGACTCCATGTGGATCGGAGCTGGAGGGCTGCGCACCCCGCTCAGAGATGACAGCCAAGGAGGGCGGAGGACCCAGAAGAAAACAGCTCTGCTGGTTCAACACAGGGAGGACAGCCATCCCCCCTGCCTGGGGCATTCCCAGTGACTTAGAGCCCCAGTGGGCCTGGGGAGGTGGGCCGTGGGCAGTTGGCCCCTGGTCACTGCTTTGCAAGAGCCATTCTTGCCCCTCTGCGTCTGACTCCGTGGCATCTTCACACTCCCTCAAGTCGCTCTCCCTGTCTGCACAGATGCGACTGTTTTTCTGGAGATATCAAATTCAGCACAATAAAGCTAGTTATGAAACAGACACTTGTTAAAGGACGTAGCAAAATCTGGTTTTCCGAACCTAGTACCTTTACCATACAAACACGAGAGACTCTAAGTGATCTTGGAGCCCAGTGGTGGTCCAGTGCTTCTGGTAGCAGAAAACTGTTCTTCATGTATAACCTTCCTTAGAAAACTGAATGTAGTACCAATGAAAGAAAAGCCACTGTGGTTGGGGTAAAGGAGGTGGGTCTCACCCCTGCCTACCCCCTTTCCTCTCCCCATCCCTGCCAGTGAGCCCCAGGGTTCCACAAATCAGAGTTTGGAAACAGACGGATTTGTCCAATCCCCTAATTTTACAAATAGAAAAATGGGATCACAGAGAGAAAAGGGCACTTGTTTGAGACCACACAGTACTCCAGAATTTGGGACCTAGAACACAGTAAGAAGGAACAGTCCTGGTCATTATTTTTCTAGTATCAGAAAACCATGGCGCATGCAGTGTGTGAACAGAGGTCCCAGGAGTCCCTAAACAGTCTCAGGCAAAGCTCCTTCCCCTTGGAGAAGCTGCACACCCTCCAGTAAAGAGAAATCCTCTTACTGCTGCAGAAACTGCTCTTCTCCTTCCTGGACTGCCTTCTTGGGTCTTTCCCTCCCTTTCTTTTCAACAGTCAGAGCAGACGCAGCCCCACACAGTTCCCCGACGCAGGGCCTGGAGCCCTCACTCCCTGCCTCTAATTACCCTGTGATAGATGTTGGCGTTGCTGCTAAAGGTATCTGCGTTCAGCCTTTATGGTCATTTTCCAACAGCCCAGACCTTTTAAACTCTCTTGTGGGAGCAGGTTAAGATGATTATGCAGATGGATGGACCCCGGTGCAATATTATGTCAGCGATGGAGATGTAGGCGCTGCAAATGGGCCATGATTACCACCAAGAGGAGGCTGCTGCAGCCACTGCAAGCCGAAGGAAAGTGCACAAGATCCCTGGGCTCCAAGAGCAGCCTCAGACACAACACACACTCACACACACTCCTCCTCAGCCTCTCTAGTTAGCTGTCTGGCTACAGTCAGACTCTGTTCCCATGGAAACGTGAAATGTCAACCATGGCTATTGGGATGCCAGGAAGACACAGGTCTCCTGGAAAGAGAAGCAGCCAGAACCCAGGAAGGTCCTGCTCTCCAGCTGGCTTGATGGGGCTGGGGAGAACCAAGTCAGATGCAGAGCTGGACCCCAAAGGACAGCACAAAGAGCAGTTCTGGGGACCAGCAGGCTCCGGTCAATTGTTAGACAAGGGCGAGGTTACACACCATGGTGTTGATGCTTCAGTCCTGGGCACCTCCTAGAAATGGGCTATGCATTGGGCTCTGTGCTTCCTAGCAGACAAAGCAGAGAGGAAGACACAGTCTCAATCAGCCTGGTTTCCATAGATAAAAAGGAACTCTCCATAATCGGCCCTCCTTTTCCTGGTTCTAAAGGTGAGAAAAATGTCTCCCAGCAATTTCCTTGGCACTCTTCCTCCTGCAATAGGCACAATAACTAGCTACTTAAGGGCTGCTTCTCCCAACATCCGGCCTTCAGCACAAGCCCATGGTACCATACCTAAGTGGAGCTGGGCAGTGAGGCAATGCTACCTGGAACAGAACACATGGCAAGGTAGGCGATGGTCTGACTTTAAATGAAGGAAAGGCGCGGGCTCTTCTGGGAGATGGATGGGCAGTACAACCTTCTGGTAACCCTCCAGAAACAGAGGGACTCCTTCAGACTGCAGAGTTTATGGTTGTCATCTTGGAAGGGAACCAGCAGGGCAAACATCCTGTGTTCCAAGCAGTGGGTGTGGGTGATGTGTGTGGAGCACCTGGAGAAAACAGGTCCTAAACGCAAGACTTACAGCAGCAGGAGCATTGAACACATGATTGCTCCAGGCTAACCCTGGCCTTGGTCATTGTAACTAATCTTAAGGCCACCTGTGAATGGGGTTGACGTTCCATGCTGAAGGACTATGTCTGAGCTAGAGACCCTGGGCCGGGTTGAGCCTGGGCGGGCCTGAGAAGGAACAGTCATGGGAAGCCAGGAGGCAGTGATGGGGGAACCAGGATAGGGTGGGAAGCCAGTGGACAGTGATGGGGGAACCAGGACAGGGTGGGAAGCCAGTGGGCAGTGACGGGGGAACCAGGACAGGGTGGGAAGCCAGGAGGCAGTGACGGGGGAACCAGGACAGGGTGGGAAGCCAGGAGGCAGTGATGGGGGAACCAGGACAGGGTGGGAAGCGGAGGCAGTGGTGAGGGAACCAGGACAGAATTACAGGAAGCCAGGGAGGCAGTGATGGGGAACCAGACTGGAGGGGTCACTGCCTTTCCCATAGATCCACTCCTGTCTGGGGTTAGGAGCTTAGGAACCCCAGGACCCTGTATCTTGACCAGGAACTGAGAGCAGACAGAAGTGGAGGGGGAACCAGGACAGGGTGGGAAGCCAGGAGGCAGTGATGGGGGAACCAGGACAGGGGGGTCACTGCCTTTCCCATACAGATCCCTCCCCTGTGTCTGAGTTTAGGAGCTTAAGGAACCCCAGGACCTGTATCTTCTGAAGCCAGGAACTGGAAACAGACAGAAGTGGATTCTTTCTTGTAATAGAAGCAGGGAATCAACACCAACTCACATCGTCCCGCACCATGATTAGAAGCCCTTATTAGCCAGGCATCCAGTGACAGGCACTGTCCTGAGTAACGTGTGTTAATCACACCTCTCTATGCCTCATAATGAGCCTGCGAGGGAGATGTAATTATTCCTAGTTTATAGGTGGAGATACTGAGGCCTAGAGAAGCTGTAAGACTTTCCCAGGGGTACCCAAGGTACAAAGGGGCAGGCCTGGCAGAGGGAGCATGCATAGGAGCTCAATAGACCAAAAGAATCAACATCAAATGGCCCGGCCTTTGGAGTCAAGCTCATATGGACTGGAAACCCAATGTGGTTAGTTCCCTAACTGTGCGACCTCAGCCAAGTGATTTAACTGCTCTGAGCTTCAGGACCTTCATCTGGAAGTTGAGGTTAATTACACCCATCCTCAAGAGTCATTGTCAAGATGAATGAGGTGATGCAGGAAGTGCACCTAGACCCACCACGGCAGGTGCCCACTAACTGCGAGAGAGGGTTGCACTCTGGGAAGGTGAAGGCTGCCCTGTCTAACGCATCCCTGTACCCACAGGGTCTCTGAAGGCTGGCACAAGATAAATAGGCACTGGTGAAATAGCTGGGGAACTAACGTGGGCTTTTTTCTTCTTGAAAAGCAACATATGCTCATAGAACATGAGAAATGGAAATATGCATTTTTAAAATGTCATGCCAGAGTCCCACCTCCAAAAAAAAAAAAATCCCTGTTCTGCTTTTTCTTTTAGGTAAATCATTCGAGTCCTATGGATTCCTCATTCCCAGCCAAGACTTCTGCCGCTGGTATTTTAGCCAAAGACTTCCCCAGGCAAACCAAGCCAGGAATTGTCCTGATGCTCATGTCCCTCCTATTGGAGATAGGACCCAAAGGGAGCTGCCTCGTCCTCCGTCCTGCTCAGGTCTCCGCTGCCCACCTATCCCCCCCACCTGCTCTGCTGCAGTCAATGTGGGAAGTCCTCCCCTCTCAGAAATGCTGGTGACTCAAGTGCTTGCAGCTTAAGGGCTGCCACCATGTGAAGAAAGTGTCCAACTAGACCCTTCAAAACAGAAGCCTTGGGGTGGAGGGAGGAGTGCCCAACAGCTCACTCTGACATGTTTCTGGGAAGTGCTCCCTACCGTGGCACGGTCCCCAGGACCTTTCATGACCTGCTCCCTCCCTGTCCCTCACGCCTTCCCATAATGTCATCTCCTCTATGTTCCAGTCACACCCAGCATCTTTGCATCCAGCCCCCGCCTTCATGCTTCAATCCCTCAACATAAAATGTTCTTCTTGTGTCTGAGTGGCAAACTCCTACTCATCCTTCAAGGTCCCACTCAGACACCACCTCTTCCAAGCCAGGAAGCTTACCCTAAACCCCCAAAGTTGGTGAGTTGGCCCTGCCCTGTGTTTCCACATCCCTAGGCTTGCCTCCACTATGGTCCGACCACTCTAGTATCACGGCCTGGTCACTTGGCAGAGCAGGAGCTCCTGGCAGATGTGGTATGGTAACTGGTAACTGTTGGAGCATTCTGCCACCTCTGAGTGAGTGCACTGGGAGCTGTCCCATATCTATGCCCCCCAGGGTTTAAAGCAGGGCCTGGGACAGAGTCAGGCTCACTGAATGTCCAGGGTAGGAAAGTAGGGAGGACATAATGGGGAGGAGGACCACTGGGTGAGAAGACAAGAGGAAGTTGAGTGGGACCCTCCTATGGGTCTGGGGTTGGCTACTTGGGCCCATAATGTGATGAAGAAACACCAACTCCACGCTGAGAAAGCTA